ATGTAGATATGATTTTAAATAGTCAACGATTAGTATGGAATGTATGATACACACATATATATATATTATAAAATATATGTGTATATATATATTATTTAAGATTATTAAATATTGTAAATCTTATTTGGTATGACTTGATTCGTGGATGGTATGGTTGATTTAAAATCGTAATAAATACACGGTTATTAAATTAAGGACATGCTTATTATATGCATGTGAAGTCTATGTATAATTATACTTAGAGTTAAGTTTAAAGTTAGTACGTGGTTGAATTATAGGCATGGATGAGTTGTCAAAGGCTTTGATATACTGCCTTATTGGTTATGAATAAATTTCATATATGGGAAGCATGGTTGAATTGCTAATTAATTGTAAAAGTAAATATATGGAAGGAAGCATGGTTGAATTGCTAGTATATAAATAAATATATTTATAAATGGCATGGTTGATTTGCCGGTGCATATTTAAATTGCTATATGTTTAGATGACTAAATTACTGTTTAGGATGGAGTTAAGGTGAGTGGGGTTTACTTTATGAGAAAATTATAAAAGGGGGGGCTTGGTCTAGGTATGACTGATAATTAATTATTGGTGAGTGGTTTTGACAATTTAATGTCCTATTAACATATAGGATTCTCGTACTATATTTATAAGTATTTATATATATTTGTATTATCGTATATTAAAGTTAAAGCTTAATAGGGATGGTTTTGGTAAAGATGATCTGTTTATTGGTTTTCAGAGGCTTGGTAGAGAGAACTTGCTCGTAGGGTTTAACCCGCGATTTTTTTTTTCAGGTTGTTAGAAGGTCAAGTCTCAAGGTTGAGGATCCGCAGCTGGAGGACTCATCCATTCCTTCTATTTACTTAAAAGTAGGATATTAGTTTTGTTTCAGTTGATATTAGTATTTATTTGGTTAAAATTCTAAATAGTAACTTTTGGTTAAGGGGTCCTTGAGTTACGGAATTTCCGAGTTGTAACCATTTGGAAGTTATTAATGGATTTACTATTAATTAGATTTCTTCAGCGTTTTCTTTTATTCTTTATTTCATTTTGTAATCCGTGCTTGTTTAAATATTTTAATTGTTTTGATATTCCCTAATTTTGTGCGCGGACTTGATCAACCCGTGTTCCGAAATTAGGGGGTGTTACATTAATGACATTTTCAATTGTTGCTTCGAAACAGTAATTTGTTTTCTGCTGATTGTGCAACAAAATATAACTTCTCAATATATAAATTGAATATAAAAATGTAATATACAATTAAGAAAGATTAAGAAATATACTGAAATTTAATACCTCAAAGGATACTGTAGATTTTCTTATTATGTCTTGAAATTTGACTTTTTCAGCACCATTGAATTTTTTATCTTTTGTACTGGAAAGCAAACTTCTTATATCTTTGTTATTTATGTTCTGTTTGGACCTGTCCACATATAAATTATCTTATAAAACAATTAAATAAATAAAAAAGAAAAACATGTTCTCTTTCTATAAATAGTATATATTTTGCACCAAGAAGTCTGCAATATAAAAATATAAAAACAAATATCATCTGGCATATATGTTTAGTTATGTATGAACATGCTCAAAGAAAAAGATTACATATAACTTTATGAATATATATATAATGTAAAAGAAGTTGGAATAAATAACGAACAAATGACTTAATGCTTTGACACTTTCAATATCCAAATTGATTTACAATGTAGATCCTTTTTGCGTTTGAAGAGACAGACCTGGAATATAGCATTATTATTTGTATAAATTTGTTATTATAGATTTACTTAATAATATATAATGTAAATAATATCAATTTGTATGATAATTTACTGTAATACCCCTAGTTTTCAAAAAGATAAAATGGGTATTTAATTTTGCTATTTAATTTTGTTTTTTATTGATTAATTGATTTAATTATGTGATTTAGCTGTTTTGTTTTCCTAATGGATTAATTGTGTGTATTTAAATTAATTGTTAATTGTTATTATTTTAGTTTAATTGTTTATGTATTTGGAATGATTTAGTTAATTAAAGTTATTTAGTTATTTTCCTTTGTTTTCTTGGTTTACATGTTATTAATTACTTATTTTAGTTAATTGTAAATGATGTAATTATTTAATACTGTGTTTGTGTATGTTTTAGGTTTAGGGTTTTAATTGTTATAAATAGGATAGCCGACTTGTAGTTGGGCTGGATTTAGGATTAGGGTTTCAGAGGAGTCTATATATATATAACGATATATATTGCAAGGGTTTTAGGAGAAAGCCCTATTCACGTAGGAGTAATTTGAGAGATAAACAGAGATACATAGAGAGGGTTGTATACACTCCAATATATATATATTCTCATGTAGTCTGCTAGAGTTAAAATAAAAACCTTATTCAAGTAGTATTAACCTGTGAGGAAAACAGAGGGTCTGGGATGTGAAGAGAGATACACAGTGAGGGTCTTGAGAGATTTATTAGGGAGTTGCTTCTGGATGAAATCATGAAATAGTAGAGGAAAGGAACGATGATCAGAGGGGGAAAATACAGTCTTGGATATTCTGCAATTTAGAGACGGTGAAAGGTTTAAAACTGAAACCTAGAAGCAAGTTTCAGTCTATTTTTTTCCTATAAACTTGTGTTCTGTGAATTCTATATAGTCTCCAGAAATTAATTCAATTTTTAAAACTGATGTTTGATGCATGTTTGCCGGACTATAAACTGATTAACGTATAAATAACTGAAGTTTGTTTTCCTTACATAAACTATTGGATTGTATATTAAACCTTTGTAAATTAATTTATGATGGATTGTAAGGAGTTGCTAGGATGGTTAAGAAGTTAATTAAACTTTCAAATGGAATTTTGATGCATGGGATCAAACTTAAAACTGGTTGTTTGTTCAGTTAACTGTGATTAGTGTTCTTGCATAAACTGCTCTGTTTCTGTTTAGATTTTTGGTCAAATAACTGGGAGTGGAATCAAAAGAGTTTCTAGGAGTATTAGGGCTTAAATTGAACTCTTAAAATCCTTAAAAAACTTAGGACAGACAGCTGGAATTATCGCCGGAAACGAAGACGAAGAACAGAGGAAACAGAGAGGGAAAACTAGAGGCTAGGTGAGTAGAGACGGCTCTACAACAGGTAGAGCCGGCTCCACAACAAGTAGAGGCGGCTCTACAAGAAGTAGAGCCGGCTCTAGAAGCTTAGGAGCCGGCTCCAAGGGTTTCCAGAGCCGGCTCCCTTGGTTGCTAACACCTACGGGTGTTTTATGTGGATTTCTGGGTTTCAGGGGCTTGGATGTGATTTTGGAAAAATTGTGGAAGGTTTTAAAGGTTTAAAATTAATCTGTTTAAGCATAAAAACAATTAGTATAAGCTAGTGTGCTAATCTTAAAAGGTTGATCATGAAAAATAAACATATGATTAGGCATACTGTTAAAGAAGGAGGAAGGATCAAGTTGCTGATTTGTTTAGCAACTTAAACGAACTGTTACTGAATTGTTTGTGAGACGTTATATGATTATATATATATAACTAAATGAAGGCTCAGGAAGTTGGTTTAAAATGTGTTAATAGACTTCATGAAATTTTAAATAATAATTTGCATGTCGTCACGGAATATGAAAGGGTTGTTGTTAGCTGTTGTTTTAGCAAAGTAAACGGACTAAAAGGAGTGTGGTGATAGAATCTGAGTGTGTGTGCTCAGTTTATATAACTAAGTATCATTATATCATACTCCGGACTTACAGTTGGGGATTAAATAGTCGCCATGAGAATTAAATATTAATTTGCATGCCGACAAGGATTGAGGAGGATTTAAATGCTAATCTTCGTTTTAATAGTGTAATGAACTAGTATGGATGTATTGGTTGAGAATTCTAGTATAATGTGCAGTTTATAATTTTGATATCCATTATATTATGTTAGGGATGATAATTGCTGAACTGTCGTAATTTCTATTTTATCAATTATATGGAAATTGATGGTTTAAATTGTTTATCATTACATTAACAATTTATTTGGAGAATTAATGATTATAATCATATACTGAATGCATAATGGGATCTTAACAATATTTGTTTTCTATTATGTTGGTTTTCGGATATATTTAATGTTTATTTGAATGTGCATCATCTGTAGATTATATGCATGTATGTACCGGTATGGGACGGTGACATACGAAGGGACGGATTAGGCAAAACGCTAATTCCAACCCATTCATACATAAGGAATGGATTAACTAAAACAGTTAAATCCTACATGGATGCATGTCCTGTCAACTAAAACCGTTGAACGACATAATGGATATTTGTTTTATCTTTCTGCACTAGGAAGGAATTTATATATATACTTATGGTACTGTGATACGAACTTGAGTCTCCTGATCACAGTTAGGGTGCGTATATCGCAAAGGTTGGTTAGCTAGATATAGCTGATGTTCCCTGGTAGGTCTAGGTATTTGGCCGCTGAAAAGCGTGTTTTTATGTCACCTTCTACTCAGACTGAACTATGTTATAGGCTAGTGAGCATCCTATAGTTTGTATATATATATATGGACTATTTTAGATATTGTCAAGCTATCTCGGATGTATCTGCGTATCGGGTTTATGTACGGATTGTAGTAGGATGGAACTTGCATGTGGGCCTGACCCACCTTTATTTTTCAGGTGTTCGTGAGTACTAGGCTTAGGGCTTGATCGTGGTGATGCAGATACAGTCACTCATTCTTCCGACTACATAGGATTTCTTTTCTTATTTTAGTTTTGGATACTTATTCTGTAAATGTTTTACCAGTTGGAATTATTAGGGGTCCACTAGATGGATTCCCGAGTTGTACAGATTTGAAGGACTTAAATTATATTAATTTATTATTTTAAGTTGAGGTTTTTATTTTAGAATTCTTTCAGCGTTTTGTTATTTTATTCTTAATTCAATTTTTTTTACTCCTGTTTGTTTACATATTAATTGTCTAATATCCCTCGGATCTGTGCTCGGACTTGATCACCCATGACTCTAGAATCGAGGGGTATCACATTTACCTTTGTAGGTGTTGATTGCCACATGTGTAACTGTGATAATAGGTCTTTCTTGTATTAGTTTCATGACAAAATTTCCTTCATTCTCAGCAAGATCCTCCCATAACGTCAAAATAGTTGTCCTTGAACTGTAATAAAGATTAATTACTTTAGTCATTATATTATATTAGCATAATTATGATCGTATATGTAATATAGTAATGACGTACCTCATATCTATTATAATGACTTCCCGCTTTTTGGTTGTGCATTTGTTGTTTTTCTTACATATGTTCAATGTAAGAGATACCTCAATAACAATTCCCCAAGCATCTAGCCAGATTAAAAATAAAATAAAAAATAAAAAATTTTAATTTTAATTTTATATATGTACAAGAGAGAACATATATATGGAGAGTTGAGAATTAAACGAAAACTAACCCATATTTTCTTTTGCATCAATGTACTTATTTAGCTCCTTGAAGTCCATAAAATTATAGTTTATTGTTTCTAAACTTACTACTTCAAACTCTTCAACTTCAATTAAGGTGTTATTAAGAAACTTCAATTCATACTCCTTATGCATACTCCTATATACAGGATTAACGTCTTTTACAGTTACATTAGAAATTTTGTATGTCTTATGAAGCAATAGTGAATCACTGAATTTGGTGACGAGCTCATTAAATAAGACACCTTGAATTTGTGTTCCCTGAAAGAGTAAAAAAGATGTGTAAATAAATTAATAAGATCATTAAATAACAATGTTGCCATACAAATATAGATGCATTTAATGAAACTAACAGAAAGAGCCGATGGTATACTTACATCATCCATCAGAACTACTTTCAACATTGTTCCTGATGTGTATTCCTCGATTGCTCTTCGAAGTACAACTACATTTATTGTCGATTTTGTTTTTAAACTAACAAGTGAATTTATTAAGTCAAAGCTTTGGTGACCTTTCTTCATTTTCATGATTTTTTCTACATGATTAAAAGAAAAAAGAATTAAGGTTAAAGAAAATAAAAATTAAAAATAAAATTGTGAAATAAAAATGATCGAGTATCAAAATAGAAATGAAAATACATATATATACATCAATAGTAAGTTAAATCAAAGTTAATATTTTTTTATGTTTTTAAAAGAATAAAATTGTGAGTGAAAGATTTAAATATTGTAATAATTGGTAGTGAATGTGGGGTATCTTCACCTTTCGAACAATGCAAAATAATTTTGGAATGGGAAGGCATGGATATTAATGTGGGTGTATCCTTACCTTTCAGACTGGAGAACCATTCTTATAGACAACATTTTTAGTGTATGTACCACCTCTAATATTTGTTTGATCCTTCTTAACAAGTACTTTAGTAGTTGACATTGAAGTTCCTCTAGATAGCGCGACATATAATTGTCCATGGGAGAACACGTGCTCAGGTAGATAAACTCCAACATAAGGAATTGTTTGGCCCTGTGCCTTATTTATTGTCATTGCAAAACTCAACCGGATTGGAAACTTAACCGGATTAATAAAGATAAGGATAAAGATGAGAACATCTGATTTTAACAAAGAAGGTTATACAACTATCAAATAATCAGGCAATTTAAGCACTAATTAAAGAGATAATGAAAAAAATATAAAAAAAACATTCAATTAAATTTATTATATTGAGAGAACAATAACAATATTCAAATTTAATCAAAAAAAAAATTATATGTAAAAGATGGCTAGCACTAATTAAAGAGACAATGAAAAAAAAAAAAAAAACATTCAATTAAATTTATTATATTGAGAGAACAATAACAATATTCAAATTTAATCAAAAAAAAAAAAAAATTATAATTACAAAAGTAATGAATTACCTTACCAATATGGAGTGGGGGTGACATGTACCTTACAAAAAAAAGGCTCCGATCTTGGCAAAACTTGGACTAATAAGAAGAAAAGAAAGACAATTGATTATGTTTTATTTTTTTATTTTATTTTATTTGTATACATTAAATGTATTAAATGTAGCAATATATGTAATAAAACAATGTATGATCAAAACATAAGATTAATAATAAGAAGAAGAAGAGAAAGACAATTGATTAGGTTTTTTTATTTTTGTGTACATTAAATATAGCAATATATATAATAAAACAATGCATGATCAAAACATAAGATTAATAATAAAACAATGCATGAGTAAAAAATAAAACAATACACGTACCTTGAAAATTGATGTGATTAGATGAAGGCAAAAAAAAAACTTATATATATAAAGAGAATATAGATTTAATTAATATCCAAAATGGACTTTCTTTTTCCCTCGCCATGAATCCCTTCCTACTGCAATCATGTTAGGTTTTGAATTTTATTACGTTTTCAATTCCTTCCTGCTGGGACTGTTATTATAATTTATTATATTTTAGGTGTTGCAATCGTGTTAGGTTTAGTAGTAGTAGTATAGTATAATTTTAATTTTAATTATTAGGCTTTGAATATAATTTGAATTTTAATTATTATATGTTTTGAATTTTAGTATAATTTGAATTTTAATTAAACTGTTTATTGATTGTGAGATATAATTATTGTGAATTAAACTCTTTTTATGAATAGGTTTTTATTAATAAGAGTAGCATAGTATAATTTGAATTGTGAATTAAACTCTTTTTATATTTTGTTAATTATAATTTTATTAGTTAATTATTGTTATTATAATTTAGTAATTTATTACCGTGGAAGCATGTGGTAAGTTACAGAGCTTTGGGGGTTCTCAAATTAGGAGAGATTGTGTTGTATTTTGTTTTTCCTGCTTGGTCGGTTATTGCATATTGGTTGGTCTCTGTCATTTGATGTATTAATTTTGTTTTCCAATATATCATTTTTAGTGTGGCTTACAGCAATAAACTCACGACTCATTTACATCAAGGATTTTATTAAATAAAAAATATGAAAATTGACAAATAATTTAATATATGGACCATTTGGTCAAGCACAATTGATTATAAATTGAATTTTCAACAGTAACTCTAAAGCTATTCCGAAATGTTCAGATCAAATATGGTACTTAATTTAAATATGTTTGTTCTTAAGTGTGGAAAGAATTATTTGGTCCATTTGGGTTTGGTTTAGGTTTTGAATCCCTTCCTGCTGCAATCGTGTGATATAATAATTAATGAGAGTAGTATAATATAATTTGTTAATTTGAATTTTGTTAGGTAATTACTGTTATTATATTTTGTGTGAGTAGTATAGTATAATTTGAATTTATTATATTTTGCGTGAGTAGTAGTATACTGCAAAATTTAGTACTACACTTGATCTTAGCCAAAAGGCCGAGAATGTGTGATTATTATCTCTTTAGCTCTATAATTCTATAAGAGGCTTTCATGTAATTCTTTTTAATTAAAACCAATGTGGGACTTTGTAATTTGAATTAAACTCTTTTTATATTTTTTTTAATTTGAATTAATTTTAATTTTATTAGGTAATTTTGAGTTTTATAGAATTTATATCGTGGGATATAATAATTAATGAGAGCTCTTTATTGTGAATTAAACTCTTTTATATTTTGTTAACTTAAATTAATTTGAATTTTATTAGGTAGTTTTATAGAATTTATATCAATTTATAAATAAATATCAAAACTCTTTGCACAAAGGCCGAGAAAGTAATACTACACTTGATCTTAGCCAAAAGACCAAGAAAGGTTAGCCAAAAGGCCGGCCCAAAAAAATTTAGTACTACACTTGATCTTAGCCAAAATGCCGAGAAAGTGTGATTATTATTTCTTTAGCTCTATAGTTTTATAAGAGGCCTTCATGTAATCCTTTTTTACTTAAAAACCAGACTATGTAATTTGAATTAAACTCTTTTTATATTTTGTTAATTTGAATTAATTTTAATTTTATTAGGTAATTTTGAGTTTTATAAAATTTATATCAATTAATAAATAAATACTTATTTTTGTTAATTTGAATTAATTTTAATTTTATTAGGTAATTTTGAGTTTTATATAATTTATATCGTGGGATATAATAATTAATGAGAGCTCTTTATTGTGAATTAAACTCTTTTATATTTTGTTAATTTGAATTTTATTAGGTAATTTTGAGTTTTATAAAATTTATATCAATTAATAAATAAATACTGAAACTCCTCTTTATACAAAGGTCGAGAAAGTAGTACTACACTTGATTTTAGCCAAAAGACCCAGAAAGGTTAGCCAAAAGGCCGACCCAAAAAAATTTAGTACTACACTTGATTTTAGCCAAATGGCAGTGTGATTATTATTTCTTTAGCTCTATAGTTTTATAAGAGGCTTTTATTTAATACTTTTTACTTAAAACCAATGCGGGACTTTGTAATTTGAATTAAACTCTTTTTATATTTTGTTAATTTGAATTAATTTTAATTTTATTAGGTAATTTTGAGTTTTATAGAATTTATATTGTGGGATATAATAACTAATGAGAGCTCTTTATTGTGAATTAAACTCTTTTATATTTTGTTAATTTGAATTTTATTAGGTAATTTTGAGTTTTATAGAATTTATATCAATTAATAAATAAATACTGAAACTCTTTGCACAAAGGCCAAGAAAGTAGTACTACACTTGATCTAAGCTAAAAGACCAAAAAAGGTTAACCAAAAGGCTGACCCAAAAAAATTTAGTACTACATTTTATCTTAGCTAAAAGACTGAGAAGGTGTGATTATTATTTCTTTAACTCTATAGTTTTATAAGAGGCTTTCATGTAATCCTTTTTACTTAAAATTAATGTGGGATTTTGTAATTTGAATTAAACTCTTATTATATTTTGTTAGTTTGAATTAATTTTAATTTTATTAGGTAATTTTGAGTTTTATAGAATTTATATCATGGGATATAATAATTAATGAGAGCTCTTTATTGTGAGTTAAACTCTTTTATATTTTGTTAATTTTAATTAATTTTAATTTTATTAGGTAATTTTGAGTTTTATAGAATTTTTATCAATTAAGAAACTTCTCTTTGCACAAAGGCCGAGAAAGAAGTACTACACTTGATCCTAGCCAAAAGACCAGGAAAGGTTAGCCAAAATGCCTACCCAAAAAAATTTAGTACCACACTTGATCTTAGCCAAAAGGCCGAAAAGGTGTGATTATTATTTCTTTAGCTTTATAGTTTTCTAAGAGGCTTTCATGTAATTTTTTTTACTTAAAACCAATGTGAGACTTTATAATTTGAATTAAACTCTTTTTATATTTTGTTAATTTGAATTAATTTTAATATTATTAGGTAATTTTGAGTTTTATAAAATTTATATCAATTAATAAATAAATACTAAAATACTGAAACACTGAAATACTTTGCACATTTAATAATAGTATAGATAGAGATATAGATCTGGATCGAATTCCGATCGGATTTAGTTTGATTCGATCTGAATCTGAAAAGTCTTTTATTAGATTTGATCCGATAATTAGACAAATTTCTTTGTAAGTTAATTCATATCTGGTTTGTTAATAAACGAATATTCGATTTGATAAACTGATATTGTAGTTTTTATATAAAAAGAAAAAAGAAAAGAAATTGTTGTCAAAAGATAATAAAAAATAATGATTAGAAGAAAAAAAATTGTAAAAAACAAAAGATAAATAAAATATGGAAGGAAAATAAAAAATAAAATAGATCAAAGAGTAAATGAATAAATATTATGATATTATTAGTATGTATATAAAGAGATTTATTAATATGTGGGTGAGAACATAGCACACTATTTGTACGTATAACATTATGATTATTATTATTATTATTATTTTGTTTTCTCTAAATTTAAATACAAATTTGATAGGAGTATTGAAATATATATATATATATATATATATATATATATATATATATATAATACTATTATTATTATTATTATTATTATTATATGTAAATTTTATTCGAATTGAACCAGCATAATCTATATCTGATTTGCTAGACTAACAAGTTATCGAATTAGGATCCTAATCGAGTAATCTGAATTTTTTGTTTAATCTATATCCGACTAATCGAATCGAATTCGAATCAGAATCCGATCCATTGGTCTATCTATATGTTACTTAATATTTTTGGCACGGTAACACAAACACTTAAAACAATTCTTTAGGGCCTGTTCGATATGAATTTTGTGTTTTGGTGTTTTTGTTTTTGTGGGTAGTAACCGTGAATAATGAAAAAAATACATTTAGTGAAAACTATTTTATTTCACATGATGCCGAAACGCTTCATTAATAATGGCAAAAAACGAAACACCAAATTTAGTATTTTTTATATGTTTCCACGCTGATGAAGATGTTTTATGTTGACGAAGACGTTTTATTTTTTGAAAAACTCTTAAATGACATTTTTCAACTAACCATTATCTTTTCTAAACGTGCAACAAACCAAACATGTTTTAATATTTTTGTTTTAAAAAATCTTGCAACAAATGAACGTTACTAAATATGTTTTCGATTACTATTCAAAACGCTTTA